TACTGTGTGAAACCTTTACATTAAGCTTAATACCTCAGTGATTCATATGATTTCAGTGTTACTGTGTGAAACCTTTACATTAAGCTTTATATCTCAGTGATTCATATGATTTCAGTGTTACTGTGTGAAACCTTTACATTAAGCTTTATATCGCAGTGATTCATATGATTTCAGTGTTACTGTGTGAAACTTTACATTAACTTTATATCTTCAGTGATTCATATGATTTCAGTGTTACTGTGTGAAACCTTTACATTAAGCTTTATATCTCACTGATTCAATATGATTTCAGTGTTACTGTGTGAAACATTTACATTAACTTTTATATTTCAGTGATTCGTATGATTTCAGTGTTACTGTGTGAAACCTTTACATTAAGCTTTATATCTCAGTGATTCATATGATTTCAGTGTTACTGTGTGAAACCTTTACATTAAGCTTTATATCTCAGTGATTCATATGATTTCAGTGTTACTGTGTGAAACCTTTACATTAAGCTTTATATCTCAGTGATTCATATGATTTCAGTGTTACTCTGTGAAACCTTTACATTAAGCTTTATATCTCACTGATTAATATGATTTCAGTGTTACTGTGTGAAACATTTACATTAACTTTTATATTTCAGTGATTCGTATGATTTCAGTGTTACTGTGTGAAACCTTTACATTAGCTTTATATCTCATTGATTCATATGATTTCAGTGTTACCGTGTGAAACCTTTACATTAAGCTTTATATCTCAGTGATTCATGTGATTTCAGTGTTACTGTGAAACCTATACAATAAGCTTGATATCTCAGTGATTATTTTGATTTCAGTGTTACTGTGTGAAACCTTCACATTAAGCTTTATATCTCACTGATTCATATGATTTCAGTGTTACTGTGTGAAACCTTTACATGATTCATATGATTTCAGTGTTACAGTGTGCAACCTTTACATTAAGCTTTATATCTCAGTGATTCATGTGATTTCAGTGTTACAGTGTGAAACTTTTACATTAAGCTTCATATCTCAGTGATTTATATGATTTCAGTGTTACCGTGTGAAACCTTTACATTAAACTTTATATGTCATTGATTCATATGATTTCAGTGTTACTGTGTGAAACTTTTACATTAAGCTTTATATCTCACTGATTCATATGATTTCAGTGTTACTGTGTGAAACGTTTACATTAAGCTTTATATCTCACTGATTCATATGATTTCAGTGTTACTGTGTGAAACCTTTACATTAAGCTTTATATCTCAGTGATTCATATGATTTCAGTGTTACAGTGTGCAACCTTTACATTTGGCTTTAAATCTCAGTGATTCCTATGATTTCAGTGTTACTGTGTGAAACCTTTACATTAATTTTATATCTCAGTGATTCATATGATTTCAGTATTACTGTGTGAAACCTTTACATTAACTTTATATCTCAGTGATTCATATGATTTCAGTGTTACAGTGTGCAACCTTTGCATTAAGCTTAATTATTTCAGTGTTACTGTGTGAAACATTTACATTAAGCTTCATATCTCAGTGATTCATAAGATTTCAGTGG